TTTAAGCCACTGGGTCTGGGACTCAAACTGCGGTCAACTACATGGGAGTCCAGCGACATAGCCATTACACCAACTGCTGGTCCCGATAAGATCTATATCTATTAAATACATTGAATCAATAATTAATTACCTTCTCATACAGAAAGTGCCAGGCCTAGATTAATTCATTGGTGAATTCTATTAAACATTTACAAACAAAATGATCGAAATTCTCTATATTCTCTTCCAGAAGATAAAAGCAGAAGAAATAATTCCTAATTCCTTTATGAGGCCAGCATAATAGCAAATATACAATACCAAAACCAGATACAGACATTACAAAAAAGAAAAACTACAGACCAATAGCTAAGGAACATAGATGCAAAAATTATAAGCAAAATAGTAACAAATCAAATACACGAATGTATTGCTGTATACCATAGACAAGTGACATTTATTCCATGTATGCAATGCTACTTCAACACTTGAAAAGAAATTAATACCATTGATCACATCAAGAGGCAAGGAAGAAAATCATAAACCCTATCAATAGATTCAGGAAAGCACTTGCCAAACTCTAACAACGATTATACTATCAGGAAACTAGGAATAGAAGAAAACTTCTTCAACATGATAAAGAATATACACCAAATATTTACAGCTAACCTCATATTTAATGATGAGAAACTAGATGTTTCCCCCCAAAGATCAGGAGCAAGGCAAAGATGTTCACTATTACCACTCCCATTCAACAACATATTGGAAATGCTATTGAATGTAACAAGATAAGGAAAGGAAATAAAATGGACAATAGTCTCCCTGTATCTGTGGCTTCACTTTACCAAGTTCCAGTTACCTATGGTCAATCATAGTCTGAAAATATTAACTTACTATTTTCTTGAAATTTTTCAGAAATAAGCAATTGACACATTCGAAATTGTGTGCTATTCTGAGTAGTGTCATGAAATGTGCTGTCCTGCTCCATCCTTCCCGGGAGGTGAATCATCTTTCTGTCTAGTATATCCATGCTGAATATACTCCCAACCCGTTCGTTGGCCACTTACAGCCAGTTCAGTCATCAGACGGACTGTCACACAGAGCACTGCACATTCGTGTTCACGTAATCCTTAGAGGGTACTCCCTGTTGTTTCAGCAATCCACTGGGGGTCTTAGAATATATGCCCCACAAATAAGGGGAACTACTACAGACAGACTGGGGAGGAAAAAGTAAAATAGACTTTGTTCACAGATGGTGTAATAGGTAGAAAACTCACAAAGAACCATCATGAACAACAAAAACTCCTGAAACTAACAAGCAATTGCAGCAGGTTTCCAGAATACATAATATAAAAAAAGCTGATTATTTTCCTATATATCAGCAATGAACAACTGGAATTTGAAATTAAAAGCACAACACCATTTATGTTAGCACCAAAGGACAAAAAGAATAATGATGATGATAATGATAAGAAAATCGAATCATTGTTGTCCCTATCTCGGATTTTAGATGTTCTCATTGGTTTGCAGTGGTATCATATTGTTGTTTTAACTTACAACTTACTAATCACATATAATGTTTAAGTATCTTTTTATTTATTTATTTATTTTTAGTTTTGCTATAGGGCATATGCACTCACTGGAGAGAGACACAAATTAAGAGAGAGAGAGAGAGAGAGATTAAATTCCTTTTCTCAATTTTCCTCTTGAGATTTTGGGTACACATGCACATGCACCTGATGTGATTTGCAAGCTGCTGAGCCTGGGGCATGAACTGTAGTCAACCATGTGGGAGTCTAGTGCCTTAACCATAGTGCCACCTGCTGGTCCAAAGTCTATTACTTTTTTTAAAAAAGATTTAATTTTATTTATTAATTATTACTATTATTATTTTAATTTGACCAGAGAAAGACAGAGAGAGAGAGAAAGTGAGAAAGCAAGTTGCAAAGTCCTGGATTCAAACCACAGTCAGCCATGTGGGAGTCCAGTTCCCCAATCACCATGCCACCTGCCAGCCCCCAAAGTCTATTATTTTTAAAGAAGGCCTACTTAAGCCCTAACTTATCATTGAGAGCATTAAATATAAATGGCTTAAATACATAAATTAAAAATTAGGGATTAGGAGATTGGATTTTAAAATGTGACCTGAACATGAAGGGTCTTCAAGAAGCTCAGGGAAATTCATGCTATGAAAAAATTGTGCATGTGGCAGGCTCTGTGTCCTGATAGTTAAGGTAGTCAAATCCCACAAGGCCAGCCATGCAATTCAAGTCCTGGACCCAGTGGCTTGAGACATACACCAGGTACATATGCATGCATGTGTGCCCAAAATCCCTAAGGGAGGGAGAGATGGAGAAGGGATTCTCCTTGAGTGGTGCTTTCTCCTCTGTGGCAAGCATACATGCCTTCTAGCAAAAAAAAAAAAAAAAGAAAGAAAGAAAGAAACAAAAAAACAAAGAAAGAAAGAGAAGAGGAAAGAAAAAAAGAAAACATGATGCATTGATTTCAAATTTTTTTGCACCAAAAGAAATTTGTACTTTAATTCCATTTTTCCATGAACTTTTTGAAGTCCCCTCATCTATGCCATCTATAGAAACTTACTTCAAATGTAACAAAATAGGCTGATTGAAAGTAATCGGATATAAAAAGGTATGTTGTACAAATAGGCAGAATGGCTAAATATCAGATAAAGTGGGCTTTTGAGCAAAGAAAATTACCAGGGATGGAGAGTGTTATTATATCATGATAAAAAGGTCAATTCACCAAGAAGGCATAGTAATCTGAATGTGCATACGCCAAACAACAGAACTGCAAAATAAGCGAAGCAAAACTAATAAAACTGAAAGATGAAATGGCTAAATTCATAATTACAGTTGGAAAAGTCATCTTCTGTCAACCTTAATAGAATAACTAGATAGAAAATCAGTGAGAATTTCGAAATATTTAAAAGGACCATCAAACCAAGAGGATGTAACAGACACTTATAGAAAATTCCACATAAACAGCAGAATGCACATTCTTGTCAAGGGTCCACAGCGTACATACAAAGGTAGACCACATCCTTGGCTGTGAAACAAACCTCAACCAATTTAAAGAAATCGAAGAGACACACAGACTGTATTCTTCAACCACAATGGAACCAAACTAGAAGTTAGTCACAGAAACATACAGGAAAATCTCCAAACACTTGGAAACTAAACAACGTACTTCTAAATAATCCATAGGTGAAAGAGGAGCTTTAGGAGAACTTTTTAAAAGAACATTAAAAAAAAAAAAAGAACATTGAGTTAAAAGCAAAATAAATTGCAACTTCAAATTTATGGAGCACAGCTAAAGCAGTGGTGAGAGGGAAATTTATGGGACTGAAATAAAATATTTGTAAAAACAAGATGCCTAAAACAATAATTTAGGGGACAGCAGATGTCATGGTAGTTAAGTCATTGGACTCTCACATGGCTAACTGCAGTTTAAGTCTCAGACCTGGTGGCTTACTTTCTCAGTTTCCTCTCTCTCTCTCTCTCTCTAGTGAGTGCACATGCCCTATAGTAAATTAAATAATAATAATAAATCAAATTAAATAAATAATTAAAAAGAAACTAGTAATCTAAGTTCCCACCTTAATAACCTAAAAAAAAAAAAGCAAAATAAATCTGAAGCAAGTAGAAGGAAGGAAATAAAAAGATCAGAGAAGAAATTTATGAAATAGAAAAAAAGAGAGATGATTGATGAACCAAAGATCTTTTCTTTAAAAAAATCAGTTAAATTTACACACCTCTGTTACAACTAAAGAATAATGAGGACACAAACTGTCAGTATCAGAAATGTAACAAGATATATTTCTACAGACCTTGCACATATTAAGAGAATGAGACAATATTACAAGCAACTCTATGTACATAAATTTGAAACCTAGATGAAATGGATCAATTCCACAAAATGAAATTTAATTTTTTGAAAAATTATTTTATTGTATTTTTAAATTTTATTTATCATTATTATTTTAAATCTGACCAGAGAGAGACAGGGGGGAGAGAGGGGGGGAGAGAGAGAGAGAGAGAGAAAGAAAGGGAGTGTGAGAAAGCAAGCCACCAGGTTTGGGACTCAACCATGGTCAGCCACCTGGGAGTCTAGCACCTTAACCACCACGCCACCTACTGGCCACCAAAACAAAATTTAAAAACCCCACAAACAACCACAACTCACCCATCATGAAATAAATAAGTCTATAAATTCTATGAAGCTGGATTCATAATTTTAAAGCCCCACAGAAGTGGCCAAACTCCCACAGATTCTGAAAGTTTCATTCTGAATTCATTATACCCACCCTGCTGGGTCACCAGTGGACCTGGGAAGGACTTCCTGTGCAGCAGATGGCTTCTGTGCCGTGACCAGCTTCTATGCCAAGTTCACCTTCCTGTGCCTCATCATAAAGGCACCACCTTCATATTGTTTGACCAGAAGTGTCAGGGTTTGGCCTTCATCGTGAAGGTTGGTCTTACCTCCAGGGTTCTGATGGAGAGAGGAACTTGAACTCTGTCATGAGGGATATCCACTTTTCTGGGAGTATGTACACTTCAAAAAGGCCACTGTTTTGTGACTTGGAGTCTCATGAGCTTTTTTGTAGGGCTGCACCTTACACAGTCAAATAGACCACACAGCTGGAGGCCAAAGGCTAAGTCTCTGACCGTGTTTTACTCATTGTAGGAATACACTTTCTTAACCTATTTTGTTACTTAAATTTACCTTGGAAAGCAAGAGATGAGAATTTCCAAGAGCACAAATCTTCCGGACAAGTCAGTTTGTATCTGATGGTGTTTGTAAATATATCAGATCTTGTGTTCTACATCCTGATCTCCAGAAACACTGGAGGAAAACTGAGGCTCTGTATACATACTGCGTCCTTCCTTTGGAGGTGGAATGCAGGCACTAGAGGAAGCTTCCATCTGGGCCACTATCAAGTCATAAAAGAGCAGTTCTCAAACTGAGATCCAGGCATACAACCCAGGGAACTGTGAACTTATGAGAAACATTTAAATTCTTCTATTTTTATTTCAGTGATAACCTAACAAAAATATTAATGTGAACACTTTGGGGATCATTTGGATAACCCCTCTACTGATCTGACCACTGACTGCAGTGTCATTTGGTGCCATGTGGCTTTACTTTAATAATTGCAGCCTCAGGAAGAGAGAGCAAAGGAGGACACATGACAGTAAACAGTGCATTCTTCCAAATACAGGCCAAATGACGAAGCAACTTTTGTAAGAGTTCCAAGGGAGAAAAGGATCGGAGAACTGAGTCATGCACACTGTGGGAGAGGGAGTTCTTTATGTGATACTCCACTGTGAGGCTGCAAGTTAGGTCCAGCAAACCATTACTCATCACATTGCATTACTCATATCAATTATTGGGCTATCCTGTGGTGTGTGGTGGTTTAGGCAGCTGATCCCACATAATTTGACTGTGTGGTTTGAATCCCAGGGCTGGTGACTTGAGTAACATGCCAGGCACACGTGTGTGCATTTTCAAAATCCCAACAGGATGAAGAAATAAAGGTGAAGGGATTGTGGTGTGACCATTTCCAGTGTGGGGTGATTCCTCACTTTCCCCATCTCTCTCTTCCTCTCTATCTAGTGAGTGCATGTGCCCTCTGGAAAAATTTTAAATAATAACTCTATCTAGTGAGTACATGTGCCCTCTGGAAAAATTTTAAATAATAATGCTAATTATTTGTGAAGAAAAAGAACTAACATGTAATAATATGGACTGATTAAATTTTGATCGAGTTGGTCATTTTTCTTGTTTTCAATCTCTAAAATTATGTGCATAAAGAAATGTCTGTTTTGAGACCAGCAGATGGCGTAATAGCTATATCACTGGACTCACATGTAGTTGACCACAGTTCAAGTCCTGGACCTGATGACTTAAACTCATGCGGGGCACATATATGTGCGTGCCCAAGATTCTGAGAGGAGAAGAGAGATGAAGGGATTGCGGCATGGCCATCCCCCCAGGGGGTGATTTCGCGCTTTCTGTCTCTCTGTCTCTCTCTGTCTTTCTGGTGAGTGCACACACCCTATAGAGAAAATCTCTCCAAAAAAAAGTTTTTAAAAAATCTGTTTTAATATTTACATATTTAAGCAACCATTTGATTAAAAACATTAAACGCAGAGTCAGCAGGTGGTGTAGTGATTAAGGTGCTGGACTCCTACATGGCCGACCGCAGTTCAAGTCCTAGACCTGGCGGTTTGCTTTCTCACTTTCTTTCTCTCACTCTGTCTCTCTCTGGTGAATTAAAATAAATAAACAAGCAAATAAAATTAAATAATTACTTATTTGAAAGCAGAAACAAACAAACAAACAAACATTAAACACAATATTGAAGGGCCACAAGAATGCTTTTTCTTTAAGCCTCATGCCATCCCAGAATTAGTTTTGTAAAGTTCTTCAGAGATTTAGTAGTGAGGAAATTGAAACCCAAGAGATTAAAGGACTTCTGTAAGGTCAGACGATCATTCCACAGGAGGGCTATGACTAGCCCCAGGTCTCCTGGTGTCTAGCCCAGGCCTCCCGGCATCACCATTCAGAAGACAGATCCAGGAAAGTGGATTATTGAGCACTGGACGATTAGATCACTCCATCCCTGGCAACCCCACCAAGGCCAGTGCTGTCATATCTTTCACCTGTGTCACTTTCCAATGAGTGCAGAGATGACAAAGGATGTGCTAAAGGCTATTTATAACGTTTCTAAATGAATGTCATGGATTGTATGCATTAGAAAATAGATTACACATGGCTCTCTGCTGGGAGGTTCCTTTTTCTCTTTGTTTACTTTACTATAGAGTACGTGGGCTCACAGGAGAGAGAGAGAGAAAGAAAGTGAGAAATCACCCCACAAGGGGAATGGGCACACCTACAATCCCTTCTCCTCTGAGGATTTCGAGTGTGTACACACACACACACAGAGGTCCAGTGTGTTTTTCAAGCCATAGGGTCTGGTACTCAAACCACGCCATCAGCCATGGGGGATCCAACTGTCTCAATCTTCATGCCATCTGCTTATCCTGGAAGATTTTTTCTGTCCCAAGCAAAAACAAAAACATCCACTTTTCTGAGGACATCATCACTGAAAGAGATCTGATAATTTTTTTTTTCTTTTTTTAAGATTTCTGCCATAGAGCATGTGCACTCACTGGAGACAGGGAAAGTGAGAAATCACCTCCCAGGAGGGATGGCCATGTTGCAGTCCCTTCTCCTCCATTCTTCTCCTGCCATTTTGGGCATGCACACACACATGCCCAGCATGACTTTCAAGTCACCAAGTCTGGGACTTGAACTGCAATTGGCCATGTGGGAGACCAGTGCCTTGACCACTACGCCACCTGCTAGTCTCATAAATTCAGAAATTTAAGTTTATGTTTTTTAACCTTGAGTAGATAGTGAGGTAACAGCAGTACTATAATTATTGATCTTCAACTTCGAATGTGTGCTGTTTGTGAATGAAACCCATTAGAAACAGAATAACATAGCCTATATTTCATTGATTCTACTCGCTACCCCACAAACAATGCAGGAAAGTCCCCAGGTGATTTCTAGTGGTGCCCACAGGAACCTTCCAAGTGTTTATGAATGCATCAAGTCAGTTACCTAACGGGGAGAGCCAGCCAGGTGGTGTGGTGGTTAGCTACCTAATGGGCTCGCCATTTCCATAGTTTAATTTCTCTTGTACTGGCCCATCATCTCCATTTCCCACGGTTTCGTAGGCCCACCTTACACTGCTTCCTGTTGACCATGTTACTGTTTTCACTGAGACCACTAATCCTGCCTCCTGCTGCAGGTATCAAAGCCTCCTCCATGGTACTCAGAAAATCTAAGATTCCCAGAATTCTGCAGTGAGGGGGAAAAATGATTTAAAGGATACATAACTTACTTTAAGATGATTCAGTGAAGCCAGTGTAATGGAACAAACATTTTCCTCTCCCCAGGGATGTTAGTTACCTTTTAAGGAGAGCGTAGAAAGACACTTACCATGTCTACAGGGGCAGGACTTCTTCGCCTGGGACCCATTGACTTCCAGGAGTCTAAGGATAGAATTCAGAAAGTACATAAATTTTGGGGCCAGATGGTGGTACAACATGTTTTACAAGGCTGGACCCACATGGGAAAGTCCTCAGTTCACGTCTCAAGGCCACCCTGTGCACACTGGGCATGCACACATGTGCCAGTGACCCAGGCTAGCTGAGAATAGGGGCGAGTGGTGGCATGAAGACCCTGTTAGTGGTACTTAGCTTTCTCTCTCAATAAATTAATATACAAAAATTAGACGGGCATCAGTCTGGATGGAAAAATGTTACATCTTAGTTTTCACTATCCTCAAACTGAAAAGTTACATTTCCTTCCATTTTGAAAGCAAACAACAAACTGCAATAAGACCAGGGACCTTGTCATAGCAGAAATCTCAAGGACTTCATAGATGTTACACTTGTTGCAGATATGTCCAAGTAATGTTTATACTCACCATTACTTCTTTTTTTTCCTGTTCTTTCTTTTCTCTCTAATATCATTTTTATTGAAATTTATTTATTTACAGTCATTCTCTATACATCATTACAACATACCAAATGAGATTTCCCATCTAAAATACATGGCATATTGGCTCAATCAAGCGTATCAACATACGTGTTATCAACAAATAATTTTCCATTTCTGGTTTCCTGTATATTTTCTTTCTTTCTTTTTTTTTATTTTGCCATCCTTGATTCCCTATCTCTCACCCTCTGCCGTGTCCCACCCTCCTCCCACACTGTCTCTGGTATCCATGGTTGCTTTCCATGCCTTTTCCCCCCATTTTATTGATTCGCTAATGAACTTAATCTAAATATTTCCAATAGCAACTGCAGCTGATATATAGATATCCATGAAAACGAGTTTGACTTTAGGCATAAACCTCAGTGAGTAGAATGAATATACTATAAAGTAGCACCTAGCTGGGGCTATATAGCTTACTGCAGTAATCAAATATGCATTTTTTTTAATTTTTTTTTTTTTGGAGAGGTTTTCACTATAGGGTGCGTGCGCTCGCCAGACAGACAGACAGAGACATAGAGACAGAAAGCGAGAAATCACCCCCCAGGGGGGATGGTCACGCCGCAATCCCTTCTCCTCCATTTTCCTCTCGGGATCTTGGGCACGCACGCACATGCGCCCGGCGTGAGTTTTAAGCCACCGGGTCCGGGATGCGAACTGCGGTCGACTACGTGGGAGTCCAGCGACATAGCCATTACGCTAACTGCTGGTTCCCCATTGTTTTTAATTTTTAAGAAAAACAATTTTCATGTTTTTTTTTCTCCTGAAACTCTTTTTTTTTCAATTAATTAATTTACATTCATTGCCTAAAGCATCGTCACAGCATACAAAATGTGGTTTCCCATTCAGAATATATTGCTAGTGGCTTAGTCATGCATGTTATCATCAATAATTTTCCATTTCTAGTTTCATATGTGTATATATATATATATATTTACCCCTATGTCTGACCCCCTCCCCTTTCCCACCTTCTTCTCACACTATCTCTGGTGTCTACAGTTGTCTTCCATTCCTTTTCCTCCCACGTTTCATTGATCACACAATTTCTTAAATAATCTAACTACTTTCAATGGCAAGTTCAGCTGGTAATTTCAAGAAAAGCAGTTTTGAATTGGTAAGGAAATTTGCTTAAAACTTAAAGCCTGGAAACAGGTTAGTATTCTGTTCAAACAGTAGGTACATGAACCTACTGACAGCTCAAGACAGGACAAAAACTTTTTTTTTTTTTTTGAGAGGTTTTTGCTATACGGTACGTGTGCTCACCAGACAGACAGAGAGGGACAGAGAGATAGAAAGCGAGAAATCACCCCCCGGGGGGATGGCCACGCTGCAATCCCTTCTCCTCCATTCTCCTCTTGGGATCTTGGGCACGCACGCACACCTGCCTGGCGTGAG